TTTTGTCAGATGTTTAATGCCACTACCATTAATATTATTAGTATTATTATTTTTATCCAGTAGAATGGTCACATTATAGTTTTTAATGTATTTCTGTATTCCGATGTCTTATTTCCCCATCATTTTAACACATTAATAACATCATTAGCAAAGCAAAATCACTTAGAAGCAAAGAAGTTTTTCAAAGCTGTTCAAAATTTCTCAAGTTTGTGTAGGTGTGTATGGTGCTTTAGTACCATAGTAATCCTGGAGCATTTTAAACCTGTTCATCATGAGATGATTTCATGAAATAAAACATTTAATTTACTTGTCATTCTCAGTGTGATCAAACAACTTGTATATAATTTCACAGATATCATCAGCTATTCCTTGGCCAATACGATTCCCTGAGAACTCAACTTGAACAATGTAATAACAACTTCCATCTCTTGATTTCATGTACTGCTTCATGTCAGCATGTCTGATGGAAATGATATAGTCTCCTATGTTTTCACTGTTTATCTAAATAAGAAAGAACAAAGACATCAATAAAGTAAGTATCAACTTACTGAGCTGTTTATTTGCTTTGATAGACAATCCGATAGGTCCAAATTACTACAAAAATCCTTGATATTTTTTGTAGGTTTTTCATTTTTGTCCAATCCATTAGAGAGCTGTGACTCACTAGTTGATGACAGCTGAGTCATGAAGCACCCTGGGAAACTGACAGTGATAAAAGTAGCAATAGCATCACCAGCAGCAGGGGCCCCAGTAGAAGCCAAAGAGAACTCTTGCACCTTCACCGTCGTATTGATGGTAGCTTTGATCTTAATGTCACCTCCAGCTTTCTTTACGATGGTCACATTCTCTTCTGATATTGATAATGACTGCAACACATCCTTCACTGCATCTAGTTCTGATGAGGAATCGCCCCTGAACTTAATACTGAGAGCCATTTTGTTATCTTATAATAACAGTATAACACCTTTATGACACACTATGGGCCCACTATACATTGATATTTTATATCTCTAGATCTAGTATGATGTGACATTCATTATAATAACACTACTTTCCATATTTGGACAAATACATTAACAAGAATAATACATGTGTAATGTCTCTGAATATACATCAACTTTAGCAACACACAAAACTGAAAGCAGAAACAAGTACTATTGTTCAGCCAACGAAGTATAATACAACTGTATATTATTATTTATTTATTTATTTATTTATTTCTTTATTTATTAAACAGTTGCTTCAATCATAAAGAAAGGTTTATCTCTTGGTGACGGTAGTACAGCATTTTGTGTTTTTGCTACATTGTTTTCATTAACAGTCTCAGCCTTCAAGTAAATACTATATCAGTAATAAAGAAGAATATAAAGTGAATTAACATTATTAACGTACCAGTATTTGTCCCAGGTTGGGTCAAATTGTTCCAGTATCTTTTCCACATCAGCATCATTGACTCCGACATCATTAGAAGGTCTAATGTGGACCTCAATCACTGGCTGGACTGAGTCACCATAGAAATAAGTATTACACTCAATGCTGGAGTCTTTCTTCTTCACTTTAAGAACAATTGGTCTATTGATCTATAATGAGGTAAACTATGATGATAATAACTGTATTATTATTATTATTATTGTTTATTGTTCTTGTAATAGAACTGTATTATTCTCTCTTTCTCTCTCTTCTCTCTTACATGTGTCTTGATGTTACTGTAGAATGTCTCAGTAAAGTTATCAGTATTATCCTGTATCTTGAGCCATGCTGGGTTAGGATGATACGTGGTGACATCAATCAGTATTGGATCACTTGATGTGAGTATACTGCTGCAGGTAACTCTCAGTGGCAGTGATGGAGGGAGGGAAGCAGTAGCTGATGCCATTGGAACTTTAACTATCTTAACAGTCCATCCACTAGGAGGCTTCTTCTTGGACTGCTTCACCTTGTTGGTGATAGTTTGAAGTGCCTTCACATGAAAGTGGCCAGGAGATAAAAGAAGGACGTCAACACTTTGTATCTCATGTTCTGTTATATTGTATTGAGACTGCAGCACGTCACAGACATCTTCTTTGCTTGTTTCTTTGGACTTTGTCTTTACATCTATCATCTCCTCAGACATTTTGACTTTGTTGAGAATATGATGATAGATTCAATAGTAATGCAGCTCCTGTTAGAAATGGTTAATGTTAGACTGACTTTAGTGTTGATCAGCTTTCAAGTGCAACCTCAGCAGCAAACAAAGCAAAGGTCAGTTGATCAGTAGAGGGAGTGCTGCTTCTAACAGTATACATTGATTGATGATACAGCAGTATGATTATTATGAATAATGTTGATCATTGTTGCTGCAGGATAGCAATGAAGTCTTTAGCTGGAGTATAAGAATGATTATTAATACAAATAGTAAAGCACTTAAACTCACTGATTAAGTGATTATTCATGAAGAAACTGCAGCTGATCCACTGGATCCACTCTTGATCTGACAACAGAAAGTATTCAGGAGGTGTGGCTAATTAATTTTATATGGGTGTGGTTTTATTTGCAATTTTGCACTGCACTGTCAGCATAAAATGTCTTCTTCTCAAGAGGTCGTTGCTTCTCTCTCTCATTCTCTCCCTCTCTTTATCATTGAAGAATACGAGAAGCTACTGGCTATCATTAACATCAAGCTACCTCCTAATCCTTCTCAAGGGCCATCTCATAGATTCTGGGACTTGTTCAACGCCCACGCAGCACAGAAGGGATCATCATTAGAGGTTGCTGTTACGTACCTGTACACTATACTGAATGGACTGGAATGGAAGGAATTAGCTAAACTCAAGGCCTTTATCAAGAATGATGTTAAAGTTGATGTAAAAGTGACTGAAGCATTGACACGTGTTAAGAATGACCTCCCTAAGCGTATCATTGATTTGGGAGATCAGCTGGGAGAGTATCAGTTGAGTCGATACCGTCTGGCTGTGTCCGTATTAACCAACCGAGACCTCATCTCTCCTGGAGTACCTTTTAATGAAGTGTATGAAGACATTTTGTTAAAGAAATGTGGTTCCTATCCAGTTGCTATTGCATTCATAATCGGAGTCCTAGAGAGATCAGGCTGGGGTGATACTAGGAGATTGAAACCTTTTGCTGACCGGAGTGTTGATTTTAATACACGATTCTCTAAAGTTGATCTCTGCCTGACAGTTGCTGATTACTATGGTAACATGAGTGATAGGGACTTTAGCAGTGCTAAGGTCTATACCTCTGCCGTTCATCTCAAGAACCTGAGTGTCTCTAACAAGAATAGGATTGAGTTTACGCTGCTGCTGATGAAGCGTAACGTTATAAGTGTTGGTGATGTGTCTAAAATTGAAGATAAAGTACGGTATCCTATCTTCTTTAAGGAGTACAAGAAACGAACTGAAAGTAAGAATACCTTTTTTACTGATTTAACCTCCATTTAAATATAGTTTTAATTCAGTACATTAATTCATTCATTCTTATTTAATAATAGATCTTCTTAAAGAAATGAATCCTCAGCATATGGTGACTCCAGAACAACAACAAGATACTCACTTATACACCACAACCACTGAGCTCTCTGAATCAACTGGTAATAATCTATAAAGTATTAATAATGATTTCATTTGTAGATACAGCATCTGAATGTACTGAAGATAGTCAAAGTATTGAGCAGCCATCTATCACTGGTAATGGGAAGGTACTTAGATTATGTTATAATAATTGTTACTTTTATAGTTTCCCATCGGACAATGACAGCTGCTGCTACTAGTCTAGAGACTACTCAATCATCAGGTAATAACTGATTCAGTGTTCACTGATATACATGATTCTACACTTATTTTTATAAATAGGAACTACTGTATCATCATATTGTTCATCATCTACTGATTCTGGTAAAAAATCATATCTGATATATTAATTTATAATTATCTATTTTTAGACCCTCTTGATGCTGCTCCTGTAATGATGAAGGTGGTTAAATTTCTAAAACCATTTGAGTCACAGTGGCATCTAATAGGAGTCAGTCTTGAACTTAAAGTGGATAAACTGGTGATGATTGATTACCGTAACAATAGCTCCTGTCTAGCAACAGTACTTAATGCTTGGAAGAGTAGTCCTGGTTCAGTTCCTTATACCTGGAGGAGTGTCATTGAAGTACTCGAGGCTTTAGGAGATGATGGCAGTGTGAAGAGAGAGATAGAAAATTTTTTATTAAAACAGTAGATGAAATTAATACTTTTATTGTATTCTAATATTTTCAAGCCATCTACATTGAACTGCTTCAATTGAATCCACTCAGTTATCATTTAATGATTCGATGAGTCTAGCAAAATAATATGCCGTACATCTTAATGACTCAGTACTATAAATTAAACTAAGTGAATCAGAATTTTAAAGGAAATTGGAAACAGCTATAGTCTATAGCCATATATGCTCAGTGCACTGCAGCACTTCCTGTGATTCACGTGATTCACATTTGTTCGGGATCAGGTCGAAGACTGCCAGTGACAACCAGCCATATAGATCCAGCAATTTAGTCTTACCAATACCAATCGAATTCTTTCATAATGAGCGGTAAGCATTCTTAAAAGTTGTGGCGCTATAATTTGCACCATTTCTCTATGATAATTATCAGTGGCGTAGCTAGAATAAATGAAGAAAGAGGGCACAGCGGGGGGCACTAAATAAAGCAATGCTTATGAATACTCAGTATATAGTAAGCTCAGTTGAGTCAGTTGTAACTTGTATCTTTCATTCTCCTGCCTAGTTGCAGGGGCACAAGAAGCAGTTATGAGGGCACTTGCCCCCACAGGCCCCTATGTAGCTACGCCACTGATAATTATTCTCGCCCATGCAGCTAGCCAAGCCTGCCATCACTGGCGGCATCAGTAGCATTAGACTTATAGTAGGGCCACACTGACTTTGCCTTTTTAAATTTTGAATAACTTTCTTACTTTACGTGCTATAAACGGCGGTGTTTCACTGTTGTGCAATACTTGGATTTTGGGTTCCTTTGATATAAGATAATAGTATAGTAAAGCTTGTTAAAGTGAAAGAAGAAAATCAAAGCACGAGGCCACTCAGCAAGTACTTACGCCATTACTACCACCTACGCTTTGTGAACACGTGGGTAGTAAACTGACTGGAAGCAAAATGGCGGCGATTCAACAGCAGAGGGAACGGGAAGGAAATAAGACGAAAAGGACAAGGAATATGACTGAAATCACAGGTGAAGACAATTAGAGGCAACGTTTAAGAGGACAGTATACGCTATAAGTAGTCATCTTGTTTTAAGACAATGAAACTGTTCAAACACTGCCCGTTCAGCCACAGATGGTTTTCTCTTCTTTGAGGACCACTACTGGTAGAATGATAGGCTTGATGTACAAGCAAGACTTAGTGTGTCTGAGTGTATTTGTTACTCATGTCAGTTGTGAATCCAGTGATGAACCTGATTAGATGAGCGATTCCACCAGTCAAATAGATGGCACCCAAAACTCGGCCTTTCTCTATGATATCGTGGCTGCAACTGAAAAGGCCATTTGACTATTTTTTATCTCTTATTTTTATATACTTTTGTTTTTAATAATAATTACAAATGTGCTGTATTTTTTAATTACATTCTTAGTGGTAAACATTAAAATAAACAAATACTTAACAAACACTTATTCATAATTGGCAGCTACTTAAATGATGACCTATGAAGGTTGAATTTATAATAAGGGAAAAAGTCAACGTGGCCCTACTATAGTACTATTAACCTGTAGGTCACAAAACTATATAGCAATGATTTAAAACATAATTAGACATAATAAACAAAGTACCAATGCAAGCTGCACAACCAGAATTACCTGTCATACTATCATATTCGAAGGGTCCAAATAACAGTTTAGTACACACCTAAGATATTTTCTTGCCTGAATTTGCAATGCTGCCAAAAATTCAAGCCCAATATCAGTAGGTATCATTTTCCAGTGACTCAAAGTCTTTGGAATACATTTTCAGATTCTGGCATTATTCATTACAATTATAACAGATGCATGCATGTAACTTGATAGTTGATACTTGAATAAAGCATAAAGTATGAGCATAAAATGAGCATAATTGGATTCATTTCAAAGCATAATAGGATGGAATTTGGGGCAGTGCCTAAAAGCATAATAGGCAGAAATTGAAGTATAATTTGCCTAGCCCTATTGCTCTGGCCTGAACCAATATAAATATTTATCATAATTGTATCATGCCTGATTTTATTATAATTATTGTGACTGAGTGTCAAATCCATGATTCAGACTGATATCACAACTGATTTAGATTAGAATTCATCTTAATTCAGGTTTCAACTTTTGGGTGTGTACACAGAAAATTTTAAGCTAGAGTTGTTGAAGATGTCGTAAATGTACTTAAGTTAACCAAAATTAATTTTTGTTTCTCATTTCTTTAGACCCTGAATCTTCACTAGCTTCAAGTAAGTTGCCTTTTTAATTTTATTTGTATTTATGACCATAATATAGTTAACGAGAGTCTTTCATTCCAGTATGATAAGAAGTCATTGCTAGGAAAAGGAGCTAGTAGCACTGTTCACAAGTTAGTGTGGTTCCATGCCATTTTATGAGTTTCCTTTACATTCATAGAGGTACTTTTAAAGAGGAAGCTGTTGCAGTGAAAAGAATGAAAGAGGAATTATCTGATGAGTATAAAGATCTCCTAAAAAATATTAAACATGAAAATATTGTACTGGTTCTTTGTATTGTGAGTTATTAATGTTACTAATCATCTTGATGAAGTACTATTATTAGGAAAGTTATCAGGGTTCTGACTATATTGTTCTGGAGCTTTGTTTGGCTTCTTTCTATCAAGTTAGTTAACCTCATGATATCATTGTTTGTTTAACACATGTACAATAGTATTTCAAGGAATTTGAAAAAGTAACGAATAAATTTGATGGATTGACTGTTGTTAAAAAAGACGTGAATCAAGATGCAGTGAGAGGATTGGAGTATTTACATGAACAAAGCATCGGTATGTTATGATGTACATGTACAAACATTATTAAGTAATGCTACTAAACACTAGTGTAAGTAGTGTTAGTAAGTATTTTCACTTTCAGTCCATAGAGATATCAAACCAGGAAACATTCTTTTGGTACAAAAGAGCTCTTCATCTGAAGTTAAAGCAGTTCTTGCTGATTTTGGTTTATCTACAAAATTAGATGATGATCAATTTTCAAAAACTACAGTGGACGGTAGAGGAACTAAAGCATATATTCCTCCTGAACTGCTAGTGGAAGATGGAAGTAAACTTGTAAGTATAATGAATGACATGTAACCTACAATCACCTCAGCAGTTATAAATGTCACAATTAATATCATAATTTATTGTTATTTATTTGTAGAAATTCAGTCCACAGTCAGATATTTTTTCAATGGGGTGTGTCATATATTTTGCTGAAACTGATGGACACCATCCTTTTGATACTGGAGATAGTCGTGGTGCCGCTATTCATCAAAATGTCAAAGATTACAATCCATGTGACTTTCGTCTACTTGATGGCAAACCAATAGCTAGTGCTTTAATTAACAAAATGATACAGCATAACAGAGCTTCAAGGTACACATGACTATTTTTAGTCTCACACTTTTACTAATTTATCAATAATGATAGACCAAGTGCTAGTGAAGTATTACAAGATCCTTACTTTAAAGAAGATGATCCACAAGATACTGTACATGTACCACCACAGGTGACCGAAGGAGAGGAAGCACCTCAGGTTGATACACCACAAGATACCAGTGAGGTACAAGATGAGGCCAGTATTCTACCACCAGAGCAGAGTGTATCAGCAGATGGAGAAGGTCATGTTAGTATTCCATCACCAGAGCAAAGTGTGACAGATACGTCATATGGTATGTATTAACACATTCTCAAGTTATTATGAAATTATTTTTTAGGTGAACAGTTGTATGCTGTTATGTCAGATATGTCACATTCTCTTCCTGGATACATAGTTGATCAGTATATCAGATTACTTGCAATCATTAATGTGAAATGTGACATGAAACCTGATTGGTTGCTATCAAAAAAGTTTTTAGAGTTATACTCCACCCACGTATCAAATACGTCTCCACAAGTTGCTGCAAGTTACGTGTACAAGATACTGACTGGCCTGGGGTATGAAGAAATGGATGACTTCAGTGCATACCTGCATACTGAGGTTGAAATCGACACAAAAATAAATGAGGAATTGGAGAAGATTACTGAATTCAGGCCAGCTGTTATTAAAGTCATACGTGGTGAACTGGGTCCTCGTTTAGGTGACTATCAAATTGATCGTTATCGTATGGTTCTCACTGTACTATGTATTACTACATTTGATTCTAACAAGTCCTTTTTTGAACTTTTCACTGATTTGACAGGAAATCTTGGGAAATACCCTCTTGCTGTTTCCTTGACCATTGGAGTCCTGGAAAGATCTGGTTGGGGAGATACGAAGAAATTGAAGCCATTTTTGTTACCAAACTTTGATCTTAACACGTCTTATCCTAAAATAGATCTCTGCCTAACAGTTGCTGATTACTATGGTAACATGAGTCAGAGGGACTTCAGCAGTGCTAAGGTGTACACCTCTTCACTTCACCTCAACAGCCACAATGTGTCTAATATGAGTAGAGTCCAGTTTACCCTGTTACTGATGGAGCGTAGTGTTATTGAAGCTGGTAATGTCTCTAAAATTGAAGATAAAGTACGATATCCTATCTTCTTTAAGGAGTATGAAAAGAGATGCAAAGGTAAGGAAATCAATCCTTTCCCACTGAAAGTCATTACTACTTATGATAGGACCAACCAAGGTGACTGCTCCAGCAACTAATGAGACAGTAGTGCCAAGTCTGCCAATCCAAGAGATGAAGGCTCAAGCCACTTCAAGCCAAAGTCCATCAACTCCAACTGGTTAATAAAATTAATAATTAATCCAATATCAGCTATAGATTCATAAACTTATTTAAGTGTAATTGTTAGTTAATCATCCTGTTTTCTTTTCATTATAGATCAACCAAACATCTTTACTCGAGTCAAAAATTTTTTTTTGCCTAGTTCAAAGCAGCAAGCACAAGGTATATATATATTGGTGATTATTTACTTTTAATTTCATGTACAGTACATGTGTCATGGTATGTGTGTGTAATTTAAAATATTTGTCTCCTTTCAGAAGTTCCTGGTACTACCACACAAGCCAAAGAACCAACTCCTGAGAGTAGCAATACAGCACCAGCTCCTACTGTTACTAGTGCAGCAAAAGAAGGCACACGTATGTCACTAAAATTTTTATGTATTGTCAGTTATTGTATGAATACCACAGCAAAGTCCTCATTATTTGTTTGGTAATTTTTAATTTTTAATACAAATTGGAATACACACATGTATTTAATACTGACTTACAATTACCTAGAATATAAAAATAATATAGGATGCATGTCTATACTCTTTATATTTTGTTCTACTTTAATTTACACTTAAACAACAAGCCTCAGCTGAAGCTGAACAAACACCATCAGGTGGTACAATAGGTAATTAATTAACATGTCATCAGTTCACTAATGACATCAACAGGATTAATAATAGTCCTGTCATATTATTTTCAGCAAAATCAGCTTAAATTTATTTAAGTGTGATTGTTTTCCCTAGCTCAAAGCAGCAAGAACAATTGATTTATAAAATAAGTAAATCGATTGATTGGCAATGGAATTTAATTGATTAACAAATTAATTGCTTATGACCGTATAGCAGGTTTATTTCAAGGATAATTTTCACGAATCACTCGTATTCGAGGTTCATGAAATTAAATTTCGCGAATTTCCACTTTTCTTCCATCTTGATTAATTTTTAAGGAATTTAATTTCTCAAATCTTTAAAAATCTGTGAACTTTGCATAATTTATTATCCTCAAAAAAATCACTATACGGTACCACTTCTGCTAATGCAGCAAAAAAGGTATTTTTTATTTGTTATACCATATACGCCATATATTTCGCGGATATCAAAATTTTGCAATTTGGCTGTAATTTTGTTTCCGTGAATAAAAATTTTGCGATTTCAATGTAATTACTATACCTACTATACAATCAGCATGCTATTTTGCAGATTTTAATTTCGCAAATTTTTCCTAAACGCAAAAATTGTGAAATTTAATCCCCATGAAATATATGGTGTATACGGTATATCAAGCCAAAAAAAGCTTGTGTTTTGTGTTAATTTGCATAGTACAATATTATTGCCTTGGTTATTTATATAGTTCCTGCTCCAGCCCCACCTATTGCTGCTACAGTTCCTGCTTCAACCCCACCTACTGCTCCTATAGTTTCTCCTCCGATATCACCTACCGCTACAGTTCCTGCTCCAGTCCCACTTCCTGAATTATTTCCAGAAAAGGGTGAAAAAGAGTATGAGACAAAGCTACCTGAAGAACATGTTAAAGGCATCATTAAAGATTTTCGTGTTCTGCTAATGACTGCCACTGAAGTAGAGCTAAGAGGAGTGCTGGGCTACTTGAAGCCGTTAGATGGTCGGGATAGAATCATCAAATCATTCATTAATGGTACTTGGATTTACGTTGGAATGTATGGGGGGTACTCAGTTGTGGTTGGAAAGAGTGCAGATAGTAAAGGTCAACAAGGTGGATTAGATGCTTTGATAATCACAAATAAGATTATGGAGATATACAAACCAAGGTATATAATTGCAGTTGGAATCTGCTTTGGAATGGATCATAGCAAAGTAAACCTTGGTGATGTCATTGTTTCCAACTTCATTGTGGACTTTTTCAACTTTCGTAAGCAACCAGAGAGTATCACAGCTCGTAAACCTCAACCTCCAGCAGGAAGGACTCTTTTACGTTTTTTTGGAGAGACTTCTAAATTTGAAATAAAACATTCTGATCAAGAAAATCCCAAAGAGGTCGAAGTTCATTGTGGTCCCATTGCTTCTACTCCTGCTTTGGTTGATGATCCAAAATTTAAAGAAGAATTAAGAGAAGTACGTCCTGATACTCTCGGTGGTGAAATGGAAGGTGCTGCCATACTTCATGCTGCTAGTGAGGCTCATCATAAAGTAGAAGCTATTGTCATTAAAGCTGTTGGTGATTTGGCTGATGGGAAGAAAGATGAGTGTAGAGGTTGGAAGGATTTTGCATCTCATGCAGCTGCTACATTTGTTCATGATAAACTGAATATTGCTGCTCCAGATGCTCTGAAGTAATTATAGTGAAGTAGT